TAATAGTTCAATATGATAAAGTATAATATTTTTAGTTGAGAAGGACAAAAAGATTTTAACTAATAGATGAAGAAGGTAAAGTGTTTTTTAAGAAAAAGAAAATAAGGCTATCGTCAACCCAATCAGGGTCCATAAATATTAATGGGTTGCAGTAAAAATAATACTGACATCCCTTTTAGTAAAATTAAGCAATCAAAATTAATGTAAATAGCAAGTAGATATTGAAATAAATAAAGATAAATATACATTTTAATAAAAAAGAGATAATTTCTTTTCATCCATATGACTCATGAATTACTGATAAAACAAGGCTAAGTCTTATATGAATTAAAACACCGAGGAACGCTGGAGTAATTATGTAAAAAGTTTGGGACTAACTATATTTTTCTCAAATTGTTAAAAAAAAATAAGTGAGTGTAATTTATCCAAGAAATTATTTTAGTCATACATGATATCCAATTAAAAAAATAATATCACTCAGATTAACTACAATTATTGGGTTAGTAATCTTCTAATTTAGGGATAATGATCAAATTATTTTATTGACAAGATTTATTTACTCATAAGTCCTGAGCGAAAATTTTTAGGGGAAATTATTTCCAAGGTTTGACCCTTATAACAACAAAAAAATTTTGAGTTTTTAATTTTATCAATTTAAATCCTGAACTTGTAAGTTGTTTTTAATTTGAATCAATTGTCGTTAGGTAAAATCTACGGAAAAATTGATATTTTAATTATTAAAGTCAATGAAAACTGTGTATTCTTAGACATTTTATGGGGTGGCTCTATTTGTACTGCAAAAAAATTGGTTGGACATACTTTGTACAACCAATTATAAAATTTAAAATTTATTGTATTATTTTGAACCCCCCAAATAATATCTATGATATCCTCAAGTAGCCTGGAGTTATACTTAACACATCCCAAAAGCCAAAATGGTCCCTCAAGTGACATTTCTTACATAGAGCTATCTTTCAGCCATCATTAGTCCTATCCCTATTGGAACCCACTCGTCAGAGCCCACCCCCATCAAAACCTGTTGATATTCTGAGGTATCTCGCAAATCCTTCTTTCTCTATCAGTTTTACTTAATTCTGAGCGTCATAAATTAGTCCCAACATCTTCATTCGGATATTCAGTACTGAACAAATGAAATATACAGAGATATTTAGTTCGGAAAATAATAAATGGTTTAAAATATTTAGTTCCAAACAAATGAAATATATGTGGATACTCAGCTTCGAACGTCTACTTTCAACATCTCCTTTCAGATACTCAGTAATGAAAAATAAAATATGTTTAGTGTCAAAAATTCCACCACCGAAAGCATAGTAGATGAAGAGAAAACATACCTCCTCTATGAATAAAAAAAAGAAGTTTGGAAACATTTTTTATTGTTTATTGTTGACTTGAATATGAAATAAAATGTAAGAATGATAGATTCAAGAGAAATATAGTTGAGTATAAAGCTGCAAAGTAAATAAAAGTGAGAAGAAAACATAGAAGGGAATATTAAGATTGATTATGATATGGGGTGTCCAAAACATTAAGATTTGTATTTTTTTCAATATCAATTACTTTTTAATCATCTTAAATAAAGACATATTAGTGATGAAAAAATTTCATTAAATTAGGGTGTCCAACGAATCTCCTAGGGTCCAAGTAGAGCCACCCCATGTATACATACATTGAGTTTAATGGCTAAAATACTATTTTTATTTTCAGTTTTAGTTAATGAAAATAGGCAAATGGTTTAGATTGAAAAAAAAAAAAAATCAAAATTTTAGGATTTAAATTGACAAAATTGAAAATTCAGAGTTTATTTTGTTACAAGAGTCATACTCTTGTTTTTTTTGTTTTTTTTTTTCATTGTCCCAAATTTGTATGTATTTGTTTCTTATCCTGATAATGTATATTTTTATAGACTTAGATGCATGTTTTGTGTTTTGAAATGATTATTTGGTAATAGTAATGATACTGATAAATATATCAAAATGATAAATGATTAAAATATTTTGGCGTTTGTTTCTCAATTTAAATTTATTTGTATTAAAATATGATGTGAAAATTATAAGCGGTTGATTTTTTATTTAAATTTTATAAATACTTTTAGAATGATATATTAATTACTAAAAATTGAAACATGATTCATTAATAAATAAATTTGATTCATAAGATAGATTCGTAACTAATCTGTTGTCTTGGATATGGCTAATAAGTTGACTTTTTTTTACGTTTTATGAATAAACATATAAAAAAATAGAGAGGTGATGCAACCTAAATAAACCAATAAGCTCTTGACTTTTTTGTGCACCCAAAGAGACCTTAATAATTAAAAAAATGACATACAAGTCCACTTTTTAGACTCACTTTTTAAATACAGCGATATGTCAACAAGATAATTGATTGATAATTAGATAATATTTAATTATCAACCAATCATTTTGTTGACACATCACTAGATCTAAAAAGGGAATCTAATTTTTGGACCTGAATTTGTTTAAAAAAATTATTGAAAAATATCACCAATAAATAAATTGGCAGAATGCTCCAAAATCATTAAATAATTTTTTTTCATGAAAAGCTGTCTTTGTAATTATAGCATTGCCACCGTAATTAAATTTGGTTATCACATTTTGAAGGATTTTATTAATGTATAGTGCGAGTGCACATACTAAAAAACTTAAAATGATGATATATTTTACATGAAACTTAGCAACATAAAAAATATATAATTTTCTTTAACATGTGTTTTTAAGAGCACACATTAATAAGATTTAATTTTAAATGCTAAATAACGTATCATTAATCAATCACTGACAATATATGATGAATTAGAAGGTAAGGTACTCTGAACCAACACATGGGTGAAATTAAATAATATATTTGGTATGCATTCAGATTTTAAATATAAAGGTGCCGTTTGGTAACACTTACGTTTTCAGTTTTCTGTTTATATTTACAAAAATTTAAAAAACTCAAATAAAAACTTGTTTGGTAAAATTTTTGATTTATAGATAAATGGTCTTAGTTTATAAATTTGGCCAAAAAATAAAAACACAAAAAATGTGTTTCCGTTTTGAGTTTTTAGTTTTTTTTTACCACCCAACACTAGCCACCACCCGCCACCATTTTCCACTATCGTCTTTCACCACCACCACTTGCCACCACCACTCACCACCCACTCGCCACCACCATCCACCCCTCGCCGCCACCATCACCACCCACCACCCACCACCCACTTTCCATCCACCCGCCACCCCACCACCACCACCACCCCCCACCCAACCCCCACCCCCCTGCCCCACCACCACCATCATGCCACTGCCACCGCCATCGCACCACTACCACCATCGTTACCACTATCACTACCATGCCACCACCATCATTATCACTACTACCACTACCACCATCATGCCACCACTACTGCCACCATCACCTTCATCACCATTATTATTGTCTTCATAAGCACCATCATCATTTTACAACCACTATGATTGCTACTGCTACCACTACCACTACCACCACCACCATCATGCCACTACCACTACCAACATTACCGCCACTACGACCACCACCACCACCACCATCCACTCGCTACCACCCACCACCCGCCACCGTCACCCACCTACCCGCCACCACCCACCACCACCAGGTACCCACCACCCACCGTTACCACTTTCCACCACCCGCCACCGCCACCACCACCACCCACTCGCTACCACCGGCCACCGCCACCGTCACCCACGCACCCGCCACCACCCACCACCACCCGCTACCCACCACCCACCGTCACCACTTTCCACCACCGTCTTCCCCCGTCACTTGCCACCACTTGCCATTTCTCACTCTTTTTTATATTTTTAAATTTTTTTAAATATTTTGTCAATTGCCAAACACGTTTGTAGTTTATGTTTTTCTAAAAATAAACAAAAACCAGTTTATAAAATTTTTGTAAATATAAATTGAAAACGTAAACGTTACCAAACAGACAGAAACTGTTTATTTATTTTTATTTTTTTAAACGATGAAATCATATAATTTTAATTTTAAATCAATTTGAATTTTTTTTAAACAGATGATCAACCTAGAAGGTGAGTATGCTTTCAATAAATGTCCCATTTACTACCAATTTTATATATGGAAGATCTCATTATGTCATTAGAATTAAATTTGGGAGTGATGTTTTAGCATTTTAAATATTTTCTGTCATTAAAATTAAATTTAGGAGTGATGTTTTAACGTTTTAAACATTTTTCCTAATGATAGTATACTGTTACCAAATCAAATACTCAATCAGTACATTTACAGGGCATTAAAGGGTGAGTTTATAATTTGGTAGGCATTTACATGATAAGATTTGACGTTATATATGCACATATGGAAATGACAGGATTTGATAATATTTGTATTTTTGATTTCATGTCATTTCTAAAATTACATCATTTCTTGTTATAGGATTTTTTTTTTTTTAAATTATTTGAAAGTTATAAACAATAACCAGCCTAGCTCATAACAACTAAGAATATATTTGGCAAGCATAATGCCAAGAACACATATGAGCAAAGGAGGACATTTAATTTATTGGTATTTAAGATATGATTATGAATGCTTCACAACATCAATAATGTACACCATCAACAATTCCAAAGTTCATCCAAATATACACGCTACCAACATGTATCCATTAATACATATCAAATATTTTCCCTTTTGATGAATTGAAATAAAAATTCAATGTGGATTAGGCAATTATTGATACAATTTCACTGCTATAAAACTCTTTTTGCATATGATTGTTTTTTAAAAAAATTCACTATTTTTTTCTGATATGTATAACTTGATACTTCTAGTACCGTTACAACACAAGTAGTACCAATTCATTTTAACACCATTACTTAAAACCTTATCGACAGCCTTGTTATCCCAATTTAAAAGGATAAACTGACTTACTTGATTGGAGGAAGAAATTTTTTAACATAAAAAAACATATGAAAAGATCATCAACAAGAAAAACAATTTCTTAGAATTATTGAATTATATAAAATTCAAGAGAGCAAGACACACAACCATACATTTTAAAATTAAAAGCACATGATGCATTAGATAGAAAGGACTAAAAGGATTTTTCACATGAAACTAAGATCTCTCTCACGGGAAAAAAAAACTAGACCACATAAGATTGTGGTTGTCTCCAAATGGCACCATCATTTTATCCCAATCAAAACCCATATTCTCATAAAGTGGATTGTTCATCCATTCATTGAACCCGTGTGACCTTTTCATAGCATCCATGGCCAAATCAACACCCAATAACTTCTCTTCCTCTCTATGCATTCCATTGCCAAGCATTTCCTTAGTATTCATCAATGCCACCGGTGCAACTCGTTGCGGAGTTTTCTTCAACGATTCAATCTTCTTTCCAATTTCCTTCAAATTTTGATCTATCAACCAATTAAGATCGTATTGATCCACCATGGACAAGTTTTGGAGCCCTCTCCCACTCAAACACTGGTACATGACTTCTGTCATCTCCTTCTCTCGATTATTCTTGAGTTGTTTCTTGAGTTGTTCATTCGCTTTCGCTATCCTCTGTCTAATGAAGCTTTCTTGGGTCATCATCTTCTTACTTTGTTCCATCTCGGGAATTCTCTTGAACTTTGCTAGCACGCGTTGGACTCCCAAGTTGTTTGGCCATACCTCAGGTTGAGACTCATTTGGACTATGTATAATCACGCATGCATCAATCCCACAAAGAGTGCTTAGCTCGCTCGCCTTCTTCATCAGACCCTTCTTCCTTTTTTTCAACGTTGCTTTTCTTTCTGAATCACTGGTGATGAAGGCAAGCTTCATCTTCTTTCTAGGCATGGCTAATTAGCTAGACTAAAGAGGCAAAAATTAGGACAATATGGTAGTTGGCAAAACCTTTGTGTGGTGTGGTCTCTTGGTCCAAATGTCCAATGATATATATATACACTTATGGAGATACAAAAATTAATAGTTGCTGGACATAATATTGAATGGGAAGATTTGGGTTATAAATTATATCTTTCCGTTATGAAAATTTCAATGCTATGTCCTACCAAAATTAATAGTTGCTGGACATAATATTGAATGGGAAGATCTTGGGTTATAAATTATTTTTCCATTATGAAAATTTCAATTCAATGTCCTAATTAACCCAGTTGAGAGTTTCTTACTTTTGGCTTAGCCACTTGAACTTTATGTAGCCAATGTCTTGATTGCATTCATATATATTATCTATACACCTGTCTTACGTTTCGTTATATATTCATATTTTTATGTAATAAATACTTACTTAAAAAAAAAGAGCTGCAATGTATAATTTCATGAGGTTGGTTGTCCTATTCTCTAGAAATGGAGTGCTCAAACCAACGGCATATCTAAACAACCCATAAATCTATCAAAATGATAAATGATTAAAATATTTTTGCGTTTGTTTTAAAATTTTAATTTATTTGTATTAAAATATGATGTGAAAATTATAAGTGGTTGATTTTTTTTATTTAAATTTTATAAATACTGATAAAATGATATATTAATTACTAAAAATTGAGACATGGTTCATTAATAAATAAATCTGATTCATAAGATAGATTCGTAACTAATCTGTTGTCTTGGATATGACTTATAAGTTGTCTTTTTTTTACTTTTTATGAATAAACATGAAGGAAAATAGAGAGGTGAAGCAACCTAAATAAGCCAATAAGCTCATGACTTTTTTGTACCCAAAGAGGCCTTAATAATTAAAAAATGATATGCAAGTCCACTTTTTAGACTCATTTTCTAAATTCAGTGATATGTCAACAAGATGATTGGTTGATAATTAGATAATATTTAATTATCAATTAATCATTTTATTGACACATCACTAGATCTAAAAAGGGAATCTAATTTTTGGGCCAGCATAACAATACTCTAATAATTATTTGTTTAATTTTTTTTTTTGAAAAATATGACCAGTAAATAAATTGGTAGAATGCTCCAAAATCATTAAAATAATTTTTTTTCATGAAAAGCTGCCTTTGTAATTATAGCATTGCCACCGTGATTAAATTTGGTTATCACATTTTGAAGGATTTTATTGTCAGCGCAGATATTAAAAAAACTTAAAATATATAATTTTTTTAACATGTGTTTTTAAGAGCACATTTTTTGAAAAATATGACCAGTAAATAAATTGGTAGAATGCTCCAAAATCATTAAAATAATTTTTTTTCATGAAAAGCTGCCTTTGTAATTATAGCATTGCCACCGTGATTAAATTTGGTTATCACATTTTGAAGGATTTTATTGTCAGCGTAGATATTAAAAAAACTTAAAATATATAATTTTTTTTAACATGTGTTTTTAAGAGCACACATTAATAAAATTTAATTTTAAATATTAAATAACGTATCATTAATCAATCACTGACAATATATATACGATGAATTAGAAGGTAAGGGGCCTTGAACCAACACATTGGTGAAATTAAATAGTATATTTGCTATGCATTCAGATTTTAAATATAAACTATTTATTTATTTTGTTTTTTTTCTAAATAATGAAATCATATAAGTTTAATTTTAAATGAATTTGAATTTTTCTTTAACAGATAATACCCCAGAAGGTGAGTATGCTTTCAATAAAAGTCCCATTTACTACCAATTTTATATATGAAAGATCTCATTGCATCATTAGAATTACATTTGGGAGTGATGTTTTAGCATTTTAACTATTTTCTGTCATTAAAATTAAATTTAGGAGTAATGTTTTAACGTTTTAAGCATTTTTTCTAATGATAGTATACTGTTACCAAATCAAATACTCAATCACTACATTTACAGGACATTAAAGGGTGGGTTTATTTAGTGTTTGGTAGGCATTTACATGATAAAATTTGACGTTATATATGCACATGTAGAAATAACAGGACTTGATAATATTTGTAATTTTCATTTCATTTCTAAAATTACCTCATTTCTTGTTATAGGATTTTTTTTTTGATTATTTCAAAATTATAAACAATAACCAGCCTGGCTCATCACAACTAAGAATATATTTGGCAAACCAAGGGCACATCTAAACAACCCATAAATCTAATTATGGGATATGAGAGGGTAATTTTGGTGAAAATTGGGCCAAGCTATAAGATGGTCATAGTGGCCCACAATACAAAGGGCTGAGTAAAAAAGGCCGTAAAAGTTACTCCGGCCCAAGAAAGGTACAGAATTATTCCGGCCCAAGATACGTGTAAAGTTACTTCGGTCCGGAAGCAACTTGGAGTTAGACCGGTCTTGGAGTTATACCGGTCACAATTCGTTAGTTCGGTCTAAACACACCATGGGTTGAACATGAGAGAACCGAGATAAGGAAGAGTAAAAGGAAGAACCGAATTAAGGATAGTTCGGCTTACTCTGTGGCTCAGCATAGCCAGTATTATTTCGGTCATGTGGTAGTTCGGCCATGGTAAAAACCATCTCACTTGGTTTAAGCAGTGAGGGAGGTGTTGAAGGATAAGCATTATCTTTCAGGAGTATGAATCCTAGGAGGACTTTGCATGGAGGAGTAGAAGTCCTACTAGGATTGTGCCACACGAAACTTATAAAAGCTCACAAATATCACCTTGGAGGAGGTAACACACAACTTTGCTTTTTGAATACACAGAACTTTTGCCTATTTGTCAAGCTTACTGACTTAGGCATCGGAGAGGTTTCCGGCACATACCTGCCGGCTAGCTCACGTTTGTGTTTTCAGGTGATAAAGCGACGTCGTACGGAGGAACACAGTCTTGATCAACAGGATTATACGAGAAGGTTATTTCTTTCCCGTACAATTGGCGTCGCCTGTAGGAACTCCCTTCGGCATCTGGAGGTATTACGCTGGTGCCGGAGCCTACGCGGCTGGGGACTAATGTGCGGGGAATCCCACATCGGTCTGTGAGGGATTACTTTCCCACCTTATAAGCAGGCTGGCTCTTCTTATCTTGCATAGGCCTTTTCCCCCAGTGGGGGAGGAACAAAATCGTGAGGCGGGTTTCGCCAAAGCGGACAATATGTGCAAGGCACGGGGAGTAGTTGCTTTATTTGGCGCCGTCTGTGGGAACTCCCTCCGGCACGCGTGATGGAAAAATCCCGTATCGGAGCCAGTCAGCTGCGGGCTAATGTGCGGGGAAATCCCATATCGGTCTGTGAGGGATTACTTTCCCACCTTATAAGCTGATTGCCTCCTCTACCTAGCATAAGGCCTTTTCCCCCAGTGGGGGAGGAACAAAACCGTGAGGCGAGTTTACGCCAAAGCGGACAATATTGTGCTAGGCACGGGGCGGGGGCTTCATTTGGCGCTGTCTGTGGGAACTCCCTTCGGCATCTGGAGGTATTACGCTGGTGCCGGAGCCTACGCGGCTGGGGACTAATGTGCGGGGAATCCCACATCGGTCTGTGAGGGACTACTTTCCCACCTTATAAGCAGGCTGGCTCCTCTTATCTTGCATAGGCCTTTTCCCCCAGTGCGGGAGGAACAAAACCGTGAGGCGGGTTTCGCCAAAGCGGACAATATGTGCAAGGCACGGGGAGTAGTTGCTTCATTTGGCGCCAAAGAAGTAGGTAACCTGCTGGAGGCAGGAGCAATTAGAGAAGTGCATTACCCAAAATGGATCTCCAACACGGTCGTAGTACCAAAGAAGAATGGCAAATGGCGTGTCTGCGTCGACTACAAAATAGTCAACAAGGCATGCCCAAAAGACAGCTTTCCTCTACCAAGGATAGATCAACTGGTAGACCTAACGGCGGGGCACAATCGACTTAGCTTTCTGGATGCATACAGAGGCTACCACCAGATCGCCATGCATGAACCAGACCAGGAGGTCACATCCTTTACAACTCCAAGAGGACTATACTGTTACAAGGTCATGTCCTTTGGCCTAAAGAACGCAGGGGCGACATTCCAACAGATGGTTACCAAGATGTTTGAACCATTGTTAGACTGAACAATGGAGGCTTACATCGACGACATGGTGGTCAAGAGCAAGGATGAGAATGACCATCTCAAGGACTTAGGAGAGATGTTTGAACTGGTCATCAGACAGACTACGACCATTCTTTCAAGCTTTAAAGGCCAAGTTTGAGTGGGATGAAGAATGCGACCAAGCTCTGGAAAGCTTGACGGAATATATGTCCTCCCCACCACTGCTTGTTACCCCAATACTTGGTGAAGAGCTCTTCTTGTACCTGGCAGTCTCTCAGCACGCAGTCAGCGCAGTGTTGGTTCGTGCAGAAGGAATACAACACCTGCCCATCTTTTATGTCAGCAAGACATTGTTGGGAGCCGAAACAAGGTACTTGCCCTTGGAGAAACTAGCATTAGCATTAATGATGGCATCCAGAAAATTGGCACACTACTTTCACGCCCACACCATAGTCGTCCTCACAGCCTTTCCACTAAAAGCTCTGTTCGAAAGGGCAAACTTTAGTGGGCGAATTTTGAAGTGGGCAGTAGAGTTGGGACAATTCGACATCAAGTTCCAACCCAGAACCGCAGTAAAGGCCCAGTCTTTGGCAGACTTCGTCGCAGAGTTTACTCTTGGAAGTCATCATATCTGCCCAGTCGACCTAACTGACACAATCGAACTAGGGATGGAAGTTGACGCCGGAATAGCACAACCCCTAGCAGAAAGCACTTGGTCAGACTTCAAGGCAGACCAGACTAAAGACAGCAAGGAAGAAACAGACCAAGACTCACCAAAAGTACAATAAGAAGGCGAGGGGCAGACAGCAAGCATGGACCTTGAAGAAAACACCATTCTTGACCCCACGACATCATCTGACCCCTCCACTTGCTGGAAGTTGTTCGTTGGAGAGATGTGGAAGCTCTTTGTGGATGGAGCATCCAACCGGCATGGTGCAGGACTTGGCATAGTCCTCATCTCACCAGACGGCCTGGTTGTAGAGCAAGCAATCAACCTTGGCTTCCCAGCATCAAACAACGAAGCGGAGTATGAAGCGCTTCTCGCAGGACTCAAATCAGCATACTACATGATGGCCACCGAACTAATGGTCTACAGCGACTCACAGTTGGTGGTAAACCAAATTTCTGGCGACTATGAAGCAAAGGATGATAGGATGGCCAAGTACCAAGAATTGGTCAGAACAGAGATCAAGAAGTTTGATGTAGTAAGGATAGAACAAATCGGCAGGGAGAAAAACAGCAGA